GGCAGACGCTTAACGACTGAGCCACCCAGGCGCCCCTGTAGATTTCTTTCTAGCGTTTGTGAGGATCTGAGGTGGGGTTTTCTTTTATTTGCTATTGAAGGCAGCCTCAAGTACCAGTATAAACAGGTTGAATGCCTTGCTTTTTGTCTTTTTGGCTACTTTAGTAAGTAAATCATCTCTCTTGTTTGAGCTATTTTGAGTTTTCTGTGACTTGAAACCCAAAACATCCTTCATAATAAAGTCGTATTATTCTCCTTTGAAAAATAAGGAAACTGGATCAGAGAGCAAGACAATGGCAAAGGCAAGATTCAAAATTAGCTTCTTTTAGACTAAAAAATCCAAGCATTCTACATTAGTATGTGAGTAAAAGGGTGAGGGTGAGTCTTTGAGAAGGAAGTGGATCAATTGTGCCAAGAAAGGTACAAACATGGTGGAATATATTAGAAGAAGGCATTTAAAGATGCTACCCTGCTGGCTTTGAACAATAAGGAAGGGGCCACAAGCCAAAGAATGCAGGTGGCCTCTACAGACTGAAAATTCATACCATAAGACATTTTTTAAAATGCAGATAGAATAAAAATTTAATTGTTAAAAAGTCATAAAAGTACTAGAATACAATATAGCATAATCTTGGGGGTGAGGAAGGCCTTTCTTAGCATGATAGTAGGTCCAAGAACTACAAGAGAAAACACAAATAGATTTGAATACCTAAAAATTTGAAAATTCTATGTAGCAAAATACATCATAAACAAAATTGAAAGAGCAGTAACAAACCTGGAGAAAATATTAGTGACGTATATACCAAAGGGTTACTATGTGTAATACATAAAGACTTGCTCCTATAAATCAATACACAAAGGCAGCCCAATTAAAATTGGACAAAATACATAAATAAGCAGTCCAAAGAAAGCAAAACCTTAACAAACACATAAAAGGTCATTAATCTCACTATTGCCAGGACATTTTACTTATTAGATTAGAAATATTTTTTAAAACTTTTAAAAGATTTATGTATTTGAGAGAGAGCAGAGTGAGAGAGAACACAGAGGGAGAGGGAGCACCGAGAGAGAAGGAGAAGCAGACTCCTCGCCGAGCAAGGAGCCCAATGCGGGGCTCAATCCCAGGACCCTGAGATCATGACTTGAGCTGAAGGCAGACACAACCGACTGAGCCACCCAGGTGCCCCTAGAAATATTTTTAAAAGGCTAATACTGAGTAATTTTTGAAGGAAGTTGGGCAACAGAGAATAGGCATTCATATATACTTCCAGGAGTCATGTAAATTGGTTCATCCTTTTTTGGAGGATTATTTAGCAATAATTATCAAAATTTAAACGTGGACATCCTATGGTCCCACAAGTTTATTTCTAGAATTTCATCTTATGGAGATATCTCACACAAGTGTCAAATGGTAAATGTCCAATGATGGAAAAGAAAAGATAAACAATCTCAATGTCCATTAATAGGGATTGGTCAAATAAATTCAAGAAACCCTAGCATGAAGTATTATGCAGTTGTTATAAATGAGGAGATAAATAAATAAATAAATAAATAAATATATATATATATATATATATATATGTTTATATATAAACATGTTTGCATTATCATGGGAAAATATCCACATTATACCAAGTGAAAAAAGTCACTTCTAAAATCCTATGTGTGGAGGCGCCTGGCTGGCTGTGGGTGGAGCATGTGACTCTTGATCTCAGAGTTGTGGGTTTGAGATTACTTAAAAAAATAAAAATCTTAAATCATATGTGTGCATATACCATACAAATTGTATACTGTATTTATGTGGATATATATGTATGTGGATATATACGTGTGTATATACATACACACACAACCAGTTTCATAAAAACAAAAAAGGAAGTTCATATTCACGGAAAAAAGTCTAGAATCTTTGGAATGAAGATTTATAGAGAGCCATTGCTTTCATTTTTGTTTTCTGAATTATTCACCATAAACGAGTATTTCTTCAACCACAAAAGGAGTCATATACTAAAAGAAATACCTGGGAAGACTTTAAACACGGTAATAGTTACCATGGGTGATGTTGGTGACACAGTCCCATCCTCTGTGGCCAGATTGCCAATGGACACAGAACTTCTTGGAAGCCACTGGCCCACGTCTCTGGGATCACTGGAACATTCTTCCTTTGACCCCATGACTTCCCTGCCCAGATTTCACTTGGAAACTGGTCGGGTGCTCAGCCAAAGACTTCAGCAGAAGGGACGTTTGTAAAAGTCAAAAACTGGAAACAACCAAAATGTCCAACAGGGGATTGGTGAATTCACTGGCTGAATTAACTATGCAACCCCCCCCAAACATCTGGTTGTTAAAGATGATTTAATGACATGGATAAATCATGATATTTAATGATGGGGCTCGTGATATAAAGTAAACTAGAAGTATGCTAAATTGCATATTCAGTATACCCCAAATTTATTTAAGCATCCATAATATTATATATTGTTTTTAAAGTAGCAGAAATGTATCCAAATGTTAACAGTTATCTCTGGGTGGCACTGAACTTTGGGTGAAATCTTCTGGATTTCTTGGGTCTTCTAAATTTTCTTTCTTTTTTTTTTTTTAAAGATTTTATTCATTTATTCATGAGAGACAGAGGGAGAGAGAGAGGGAGAGAGAGAGAGAGAGAGAAGCAGAGGGAGAAGCAGGCTTCCCACAGAGCAGGGAGCCCGATTGCGGGACTCGATCCCAGGACTCTGGGATCATGACCTGAGCCGAAGGCAGATGCTTAACCATCTGAGCCACCCAGGTGCCCTCTTCTAAATTATCTATAAGAAGCATGTATTGATGGACTCTAAAAAACAAACTGAGGGTTCTAGAGGGGAGGGGGGTGGGGGGATGGGTTAGCCTGGTGATGGGTATTAAAGAGGGCACATTCTGCGTGGAGCACTGGGTGTTATGCACAAACAATGAATCATGGAACACTGCATCAAAAACTAATGATGTAATGTATGGTGGTTAACATAACAATAAAAAATTATTAAAAAAAAAAGAAGCATGTATTGATTTTTATAATAATAAACATTATTTTAAGAAGGAAACGTTATACGTGAAATGTGTTCAATTTCCATAGATGTTCAGAGCATAACTTCTGAGCCTGACTACCTGGGCTTGAATCTATACTCCATGAGCTCATAGCTGTGAGGCTTTGGCCACTTCATCTCCCTGTGCTTTGGTGTTCTCACCTGTAAAATGGGACAATATAGCCCTGAAGAGGTGGGATTGTTGAAAGAATGGGAATTCAGACATACCAAGGGCTTGGGACAGAACTTGGCACACAGTTAAGTTACTGAAAACACTAGTCATTTTATATGTTTGACATAGGAAAACATTACGGATGTTTAGTGCTGGTAAAAATAGAGTGGAACTGTGGTCCTCATGCCCAGCTTGCCCCAGGCAGACTGGGACCAGGCCATTTGGAAAGCAATTTGACAAAACGTTCCAGTAATCAGGAAAATCATTAGAATCGTGCTCCTGCTATTTCCATCCTGGGAACATGATTTAGAGAAATAATCTCCTCAGAAGGACAGAGGAAGCAAGTATGGAAATGCTCATTCTAACATTCATAATTGGGAAAATTGGTGAACCACCTGTGAAAATCAGGGGCTTAGAACAAAATCCACGTGGGGCAATGGATTTGTAAACTGTTTTACACCCACCAGTGAAATATTATTAGCCTGAATAATGATCAGTATGAAGTGTATGTGATTACAAAAGACAATGCTCAGGGTATAATAGGGACAAATCAGAGAAAGCCAAAATTGTTTCTACACTCCGATCACAGTGAAATAAAATAACATTTATTTTAAGATGATATTTGAAAGGGAATACAAAAAAATCAAAACAATAGGACTTCTGAGGTGGCCATATTGCTTTTGTTTTATGCTTAAAAATATGGATATGGAAGACAGAGTAAAACAAAACCAGAAAGAAATACACACAAATTGACAGGATCTCCCTGGGCTGTGAGGTTATGGGGAACTGGTATTTTATTCCATACTTCTCAACACTTTCCAAATTGTCCTTTATGATAAGTATATGTTATTTTACTTTAAAATATTTCCTGTTTTAAAAGTATGTGCATTATTTTTATAATAAAATATACATACTATTTTTTGTTTGTTTTTTGGTTTTTGGTGGTTTTTTAGAGAGGGAGAGAGAGAGAAACAGAAGGAGAGAGAGAATCTTAAGCAGGTTCCACGCTGAGTGTGGAGCCTGACTTGGGGCTCAATCTCATGACCCTGAGATCAAGACCTGAGCTGAAGTCAAGAGTGAGACACTTAACGGACTGAGCCACCCAGGCACTACCTCTTCCCTTTTTTAATACTATGTTTTTAAGATGAAAATATGATGAAAGAAAAACTTCCCTTTGGGCATGAATAAAAACAGAAAATGATGCTTAAGAGGGCAACTCCTTTATAAAGCATAAATCCTGGACATGGGAAAGACACAAAAAATAGGCTTCAAAAATGGCTGTAAATAGTGGAACATACTGTGTTTAAGCCAACTGCGGATTTTGCCATGAAATTTGTAGCTTAGAGTTCTAAAGGATACTAAAATCTAGTGTTGATGTTCAGCTACATAGACTTGTACTCTAACGGGTTAATCTTCCCAGTTTTTTTTTCTCGAATTTTCAAACTCCAGTTTAATGAATGATCGATAAATTTAAAAAGTTCACAGAGACCTTATTAAAGATAACAGATGATGTTACGTTCCATTTACACCACCCTCTGGGGATGCCGTAAGACTGAAAAATAGGGGGGAAGCTGAGATTCTGGGGGGGGGGAGCTCCTAAAATGATCAGAAGCTGTCCCACCTGGTGATAACCTGTTCCAGGTCCTTGTAGGAAATAGAGAAGCAACTCTCTCAAATATATAGTGTTAGGGTTCTTCTCTGGGAGGAAGTTACTGGTGCTGATGAAGGCTACACCAAACCCAGCATCAGAACCGCCCATCTGCTACCTTCTCAGGCTTTCTGGTCAGCAGGAGTTCTCTGAATATCAGCAAGCTGTGTGCTCCACGCAAAGCCTTTCTCAAAATCATTGCAGACGCAGGTGTCATGCACAGTGTGAAGTCTCCGGTGTTCAGTCAGGTGTGAACTCCAGCTGAAATCCTCCCCACATTCTTTACACACATAGCGTTTGCCACCCGTGTGTACCTTTTGGTGTTGAATAAGGTGTGAAATCTGGGTATAGGTTTTTCCACAGTTGTTACATTTATAGGGCTTCTCGCCTGTATGGATCCTCTGATGCTGAATAAGGTGGATGCTCTGGTTGAAAGCTTTCCCGCATTCCTTACAGGCGTAGGGTTTCTCGCCAGTGTGAATTCTCTGATGTTGGGTAAGGGAGGAGTTGTGACTGAATGTTTTCCCACACTCTTTGCACTTATAGGGTTTCTCGCCTGTGTGGATTTTCTGATGCTCGATAAGGTGGGTGCTCCGGCTGAAGGCTTTCCCACACTCACGGCACTCATAAGGTTTCTCTCCAGTATGAATCCTCTGGTGTTGGATGAGGTGGGAAATCTGGGTATAGGCCTTCCCACAAACTTTACACTCATAGGGCTTCTCCCCAGTGTGAATCCTCTGGTGCCGGGTAAGCGAAGAGTTCTGGCTGAAGGTTTTCCCACATTCGTTACATTTGTAGGGCTTCTCACCAGTGTGAATTGTCTGGTGTTGAGTGAAGGACGAGGTGTGACTGAAAGCCTTTCCACACTCATTACATATATAGGGTTTTTCTCCCATGTGAACACTCTGGTGCCTCATAAGGTGGGAAATCTGAGTATAAGCCTTCCCACACTCGTTACACTCATAGGGCTTCTCACCAGTGTGAATTCTCTGATGCTGAGTCAGGGATGAACTGTGGCTGAAGGCTTTGCCACACTCAGAGCACTCATAGGGTTTCTCTCCAGTGTGAACTCGCTGGTGCTGGGACAGGGACGAGCTATGGCTGAAGGTTTTCCCACACTCGTTACATTTGTAGGGTTTCTCTCCGGTGTGGATTGTCTGGTGCTGAGTCAAGGAGGAAGTGTGACAGAAGGCCTTGCCACACTCACCACATTTGTAGGGCTTCTCCCCCGTGTGGATTTTCTGGTGGCGGGTGAGGTGGGACACTTGTGAGTAGAACTTCCCGCACTGGTTGCATTTATAGGGTTTCTCCCCAGTATGGCACCGCTGGTGTTTAATGAGGGAGGAGCTCTGGGTGAAGGCCTTCCCACATTCTTTGCATTTGTATGGCTTCTCTCCAGTGTGGATCCTCTGATGCTCAGTAAGTGATGAGCTCTGAGTAAAGGTCTTGCCACACTCGCTGCACACATAGGGCTTCTCTCCCGTGTGAATGATGTGGTGCTGAATGAAATATGAGCTGTTGCTGAATGCCTTCCCGCAATCATTACACTTGTAGGGTTTCTCTCCAGTGTGAATCCTCTGGTGTAGAATATAGTCTGAATGGTAAATGAAGGCTTTCCCGCACTCTGCACAGTTAAGTGGCTTCTTTTCTACAAACATTCTTTGGCGTTTCAGGCTCTTTCTTGGCCCATTCCTCTTCCGAGTTCTCTCTCCCACAGGCCCTCTTTGCTTCCTGATGAAGGCGGAGGTCTGCCTGAGGCTCCGCCCAAGCTCGTGACAGCCCAGGCCTCTCTCCCCACAGGTGGTTTCCTTGAGAGGAGCAAACATACACCTCAAATGCCTCTCCTGCTCTCCCTGGTCCTCCAACTGACAGTTCCAGGTCCAGGACTCCCCCAGCCTGGCATCTCCAAGCACTTCCCTTAAAACTCCCTCCCTTTTTTCCACTGGGGAAGTGGCCTCTTCAGAAACACTCTTTTTCAGAAGTGACTCCCAAGGAGCTGCAGAGCTGGTGTGCAAGGCTGAAAGACACGGAAAATGTGAATATTGTCTGCATTGGGACCAAGGAAACTGATCAAGTTGAACTGACACTGGAAAACTTTAAAATGCAAGTTTCAAAGTTTAGGTTGCTATTTCCAAAGACAGGAGAGACGTGTTGTGACATGGAAGGATGGCCTCAAAATATCCAAAAAATGAAAATATGTTTTTTTAAGATTTTATTTATTTATTTGAGAGAGAGAGCATGAGGGGGGGAGGGTCAGAGGGAGAAGCAGACTCCCTGCGGGGCAGGGAGCCCAATGTGGGACCTGATCCTGGGACTCCAGGATCATGACCCGAGCTGAAGGCAGTCGTCCAACCAACTGAGCCACCCGGGCACCCAAAAATATTTTTTTTACAAATGATTTTACTTATTTATTTAAGAGAGTGAGCAAGTGAGAGAGCACAAGCAGGGGGAGTGGCAGAAGGAGAGGGAGAAGCAGACTCCCCCACTGAGCAGGGAGCTTGATGCGGGGCTCAATCTTGGGACTCCCAGGACCATGCCCTGAGCTAAAGGCAGATGCTTAACCGACTGAGCCACCCAGGTGCCCCAAGTTGTATATGTTTATGTATGTGTTAACGTGTGTATGCACGTGCATAGTGGGATGGAGGGTTTTCAATTTATTATTATTTACTTTTTTACTGTGGTAAAATACATACAACATAAAATACGACATTTAGATCATTTTTAGGTGTGCTGTTCCATTGCATGTATATACTCATACTGTGGTGCAATCCTCACCACCATCCACCTCCAGAATGTTCTCATCTTCCCAAACTGAAACACTGCCCATCAAATACTAATGCCATTTCCCTTCCCCAGCCCCTGGCCACCACCATTCCACTTTGGCTTTATGAATTTGCCTACTCTAGGCGCCTCATGTAAGTGGAATCATACAATATTTGTCCTTTTTTTTTTTAATTTATTTGACAGAGAGAGACACAGTGAGAGAGGGAACACAAGCAGGGGGAGTGGGAAAGGGAGAAGCAGGCTCCCACCGAGCAGGGAGCCCGATGCAGGGCTTGATCCCAGGACCCTGGGATCATGACCTGAGCCGAAGGCAGATGCTTAACAACTGAGCCACCCAGGCACCCCAATATTTGTCCTTTTGTGTCTGGCTTATTTCACTTAGCATCATGCCCTCCAGGTTTATTCACGTTGTTATTATTTACTTTTATAATTAAAAAAAATACAGTAAAGCTTTTGGGGTAAAATGAGAAAAGTAAATTTTTTTGAGAGATAAGCAGGATTATGGGGAGATTTCCATTTCCTGCTTTATTTTTATTCACATTTTTTAAAAAAGATTTTATTTATTTCTTTGAGAGAGAAAATGAGAGAGAGAGAGCACATTGGGGGGGGGGTCAGAGGGAGAAGCAGACTCCCTGCTGAGCAGGGAGCCCGATGCGGGACTTGATCCCGGAAATCCAGGATCATGACCTGAGCTGAAGGCAGTCACTTAACCAACTGAGCCACCCAGGCGCCCTGTTTACATTTTCAAAGTTTCTGCGAAGAACACATATAACTTTAATTTGATCAAAAGATATCAATAAATCGGGATGCCTGGGTGGCTTAATTGGTTAAGCGTCTGCCTTTGGCTCAGGTCATTTTCTCAAGGTCCTGGGATCGAGCCCTGCATCAGGCTTCCCGCTCAGCAGGGAGTCTGTTTGTCCCTGTCCCTTCCCCTGCTCATTCTAGCTCTCAAATAAATAAATAAAATCTTAAAAAAAAAAGATGTCAATAAATATTAAGTGTATGTGAGGCTTTTAGAGCACAGTCTTGCAATCTGGAGAAAGGGAAGTGTAGAGAAGAGATGATAAGCAGGAAGCACAGCCATTTGGAATTTGTTGAAGGGGATGGATTTTTTGATGCTAGTAGATCTGTTCATGGGACACCTATTAATTGCATATTGTTACGTGCTACCCACAGTGCTAGGGCTTGCTGTCAGGGGTACTGGGGAGCCATGGGAGGGCTGTGAGTAGGGGAGGAGTGGGATCAGCTCCGGGTGTAGAAAGACCCCTCTTGGGCTGTGTGAGATGAACTGGAGGGCATAAGACTGGAGGCTGGAAGGTGAGGGAGGAGGCTGGGATGAGGGTCCAGCCAAGGGAAGTTGAGGCCTGAGCCAGGGCTGTGGAAGAGAGGACAGGGGACTGGGAAAAGTTAGGGAGCAGGACGGACAGGACCGGGGACCAATGGGCTGTGGCGAACGGGAAGGAGGGGGCAAGTCCCACCCCACAACACGGTGGACAGTGACGGGAACAAAGATGCTTCAACCCCCTCCCCTCATGGAGTTTGTGGGCCAGTGGGGAGCAAACATCTGGCCTCCTGTTCCCCACTATGTCCGGTGGGGGTCCCACTTCTGGGTCTTTACATAGATGATTCCCAATAAAGAATCACCAATAATCACTGTAGCCTATTCTGACCAGTGGGTTAGTGTGCCAGGTGCTGGGCGACACTTTTAGGTGTTAATTCATTGACCTTTCCCAACCCGGGGTATTATTATTGACCCCATTTTGCAGGTGGAGGAAATCGAGGCACAGAGGGGCTAAGTGACCCGCCTGAAGGTCACAGAGCCAGAAGTGCTGGAGCTGGGATTTGAACCCAGCACCCACAACTATGGCGGGTGTTGGGCTGCCTCATTCTTGTCACTGATCAAAACAGACAGGATAGGAAGATGGCTCACACCTGCTGGACAACCTCACCCACCTGGACAGGTAGCTTGCCGGACTTCCTTCTTCTCCATTCTGGGCTCCTCCCCTCGCTCCAGACGGGAGATCACATCAGGTTTAGACCCAAGAGGCCCCACCCCTGGAAAAGACACAAGATTTGGCCATGGCTGCCAGTCATCGGGAAGCCTCGGGGCTGGGCCCCAGGCCCTGGGTCTGCAGGGGAGCTGCATACATTGGGTGCCTAATGATTAGAAGGTCCAATGGTCCAGATGCCTGGGTGGCTCAAGTCAGTTAAGTGTCCAACTCTGGGTTTTGGCTCAGGTCATGATCTCAGGGTCCTGGGATTGAGCCCCGCATCAGGCTCCCTGCTCAATGGGGAGTCTGCTTGAGATTCTCTCTCTTTCTCTCTCTCTCCTTCTGCCCTTCCCCTACTCTCACTCTCTCTCTAAAATAAATTAATAGGGCGCCTGGGTGGCTCAGTCGTTAAGCGTCTGCCTTCGGCTCAGCTCATGATCCCAGGGTCCTGGGATCGAGCCCCGCATCGGGCTCCCTGCTCAGCGGGAAGCCTGCTTCTCCCTCTCTCACTCCCCCTGCTTGTGTTCCTGCTCTCGCTGTGTCTCTCTCTGTCTAATAAATAAAATCTTTAAAAATAAATAAATAAATAAAATAAATCTTAAAAAAAAAAAAAAAGCAGCAGCTCTAATGGTCCATGCGAGATTCATTTGTTGAGTACCTACTACATTCCAGAAAGAGCCTGAGTCCTGACATCACGGCTTACTTGGAAACAGGGGCTTTGCAGATGTAATTAGTGAAGATGAGGTCCTACGGGAGCAAGCTTGGCCCTGAGTCCAATGACCGGTGTCCTTGTTTGAAGAGGAGAGACATACAGACACAATGGAGGGGAAAGGTCATGTGAAGATGGAGGACAAGATCGGGGTGACAGGGGTACAGGGCAAGGAACGGCAAGGGCCGCCAGGAGCCTCCGGAAGCTGCATCCAGGAAGGACTCTCAGAGGGAGCAGGGCCCTGCCCACAGCTGGATTTTGCACTTCTGGCCTCTGAACTGTGAGGGAATACATTTCTGCAGGGGACAGGTGGAAGGGACCTCGTTCTTTACACCCAAGTTGCACAGAACAGGGGTCACACAGCAGGCTGCCAGCTCTCCTTGGAAAGACCTGCTCCCACGGCTGCCCGCGGCTGGCATCTGGGAAGCTGGATTTCGGGAGGGTTCCCAGCACTCCCTAACCTCCAGCAGGGGCTGCCTGTGCTTAAGCTGTTGGTGCAAACAACATGGTTTCTGCTGAACACCTGCTTTCCTTCGGGGAGTCTGGAATTTTGGTACGTGCCAGGCCGAGGGCGCTGACGTGACTGGCCCCCATGAAAAACCCCGGGGTGCTGACAGAGGCTCTAACAAGTGTCCCTGATGGACAACGTCTCACACGTGTTGTCACATCTTGTATGTCCCATGTGACTCCACGGGGAGGGGACTCTGGCCTGGTCTCCACCAGATGTCGCCCCACGTGCCTCATCTCTTTGCTGACTGCGCTTGGTGTCCTTCTGCTGCAGTGAATCGGGGCGATGAGTACAACTGCATGCTGAGGCCTGCAGGTCCTCCTTGAGCCCCCGAACCTGGGGGCTTTCCTGGGGCCCCTGACGTAGAAGTTTAAGCGGGTTTTTGGTGAGTTTGTCCAGTGAAAGTGTATGAGTGAGCATGGCTGAGGAAGGAACCTTCAAACCACCAGAGTTCACAGGGAAAAGGCAAGACAGAAGAATCAGAAAAAGAAATTGAGGAGAGATGGAGGCGGACAGAAAGACCACTGAGGAGGCTGGAGTAGGGTCAGGGGGTGAGGGCAAGGCCAGATCAGGGCTGGGCTGCCGGGACAGAGGAGGGGATGGGCAGAGATTATTGGGAGGCAGAGAGGGTGTGGCGGGCTGTTGGGGAGGGGCTGGGAGGGGCGAGGATGGTGCTGCGGGTGTCCGGGTCTGGGGGCGGGGGACCCAGAGGAGGAGGGGCGGGCCAGTGTGGAGACGCTGAGCTCAGGGTGAGTGTGACAAATGTGAAGGGCCTTGAGGGGGCACAAGAGGTGGGTGGACAATGTAGGACGAGGGAGACACATTTGGGAACGGCATTTCTGTGTCTTGGAAAGATTCTAAAATGGAGCTAGATGACTGGAGGACATCCAAGGAACACTTGGAGTCTGAGATTCTAGAACGCGCATTCCAGGGAGGAACCTGAGGTCACCACGTGTGGAAAGGGAAGCAAGAAGAGAAGGTGGGGGCACAGGCTGAAGATTTTGCAGGACAGGCAGAGGACTCGGGGCTCTCGGGGACGCAGGGACTCTAGGAGAAGCGTGGAGAGAAGGAGGGACAGAGGCCAGCCAGGAGGGACCGGTGAGGGGAGCAGAGAGGGTACCCCATGACCTCAGCGAATACCCACTGTTGAGTAGTGGGTGGGCACAAAGGAGATGAGGGCAGAAGGGGGGCATCACGCCTCTTCCTGAGAAGGCAGGGGGCAGGGCCTCACCCAGTGAGAGAAGGTTCTGGTAGTTCTCTAGCATCACATCCCGGTACAACTCCCTCTGGCCAGGCCCCAGCTGGCCCCACTCCTCCAGGGTGAAGTCCACAGCCACATCCTTGAAGGTCACTGATTCCTGCAAGGGACAATTTTACACGGTGGAGGGGCACATCCTTCTAGAACTCTGGGGCCGGGAGAGGTCATGGGTCAACAGCCTACCCCTGCTGGTGGCTGAACCAGCTCTAACACTCCAGGCTGGAACATACTGACTCAGCACGTTTGAGATAACTGAATAAAAATGGCCCACAGAAATGCAGAAAGTTTTGGCCAGCTCCTAGCCCACAGGCTTCCTGGCAGAAGGTAGGAGAAAGCTCCCTTTTGCGTGACTCTTTACTGCCATCTGTTGGAAAATCGTTATAATATGCCAATTATTTTAGTAAATGACCGTTTCCTGCCATCTGCATGAAAACTGCCCTAGTATACCAGCGTATGAGGTACGCGATGTGAAACCTGACACTGAGGTGAGGCACTCTTGTGCAGTGTGCAACCTGCATTACCTACATATGACAGCCCTAAGAAACACTTTCTTTTAAAATCAAGCCATTGTGTGCAAGAGTTATAACTAAGTGGCGCTCCTTCCCAGACCCGGACTGGGATCCCAATGCCCATCCCTTACTCCAAGGATAAGGCTCAGGGGTGAAGCAAAACCATCCACTGCCCACTTCCCTCGGCAACTCAAAGGCTACTGAGAGTTAGATTGGTTTGTAGACCGGGTCATAACGTCCCAACTCAGAGCATCCTGCCCCTCCCCTCTCCCCTCCTCGCTGCACCTCCCAGCCCTAGAGCCCCTCCCACCATAGCCTCTTCCGCATGCCTGGGAGGAGCAGAAGATCTTTGGGCCACAGGCAGAGATGACGATGGCCCTCTGGGGTCCACAAAATCATCTTGGGGAAGGGGAAGCCCAGAATCACCTGGTCCTCAGCCATCAGGGTCCTGTGGCCACTGCGTGGTCCTGGGCATGTGCCTCCAGGAGACGGGAGCAGGCCTGAGTCCGCAGAGCTGGAGGAGGAGACTGGAGAACAGAGGAGGGTCAGTTCTCCCACAGACAGACAGACAGACAGATGCTTTTGCAAAGATGCCTCATGACAGGGGACTCTAGTCTCCCAGGAGCTGGAGCAAAGGCTCCAGACGGGGCTGCCCGAGGCCCCCAAATCCATACCAACAACCACTAGCAATCAGGAGGCTCAGCTCACTGCACCCACATAACAGCTCTGGAAGACTAGTTTAACTAGAGTTATCTCCAGAGAAGGAAATAGAGGCACAAGAGGTCAAGGCCCTTGCTCAAGGTCACAGAGATATCAAGTATCAGAGCCCAGAAGTCTGGCTGCAGAGCTAAGCCACCTTTTTATTTTATTTATTTATTTATTTATTTATTTATTTATTTATTTATTTTTTAAAAGATTTTATTTGTTTATTTGAGAGAGAGAGAATGAGAGATAGAGAGCACGAGAGGGAAGAGGGTCAGAGGGAGAAGCAGACTCCCTGCTGAGCAGGGAGCCCGATGCGGGACTCGATCCCGGGACTCCAGGATCATGACCTGAGCCGAAGGCAGTCGCTCAACCAACTGAGCCACCCAGGCGCCCTATTTATTATTTTTTTAAGCCACCTTTTTAGTCTTACTTTTTTTTCTTGTGGTAAAATGCATATAACATGCAATATAACATTTTAACCACTTTAAATGATACAGTTCAGTGGCATTTAGGACGTTCACAGTGATGTGCAACCATCACCACGATCTGGTTCCAGAATGTTTCCACCATCGCCCTAAAAGGAAACCCTATACTGTTAATCAGTCACTGCCAAATCTCCCTGTTCTGTCCCAGCCCTCCAATGCCAGCCTCTGATAACTACTCATCTTTTTTTCTTTTTTTTTAAAGATTTTATTTATTTATTTGAGAGAGAGAATGAGAGAGAGAGCACATGAGAGGGGGGAGGGTCGGAGGGAGAAGCAGACTCCCCGTCAAGCAGGGAGCCCGATGCGGACTCGATCCCGGGACTCCAGGATCATGACCTGAGCTGAAGGCAGTCGCTTAACCAACTGAGCCACCCAGGCGCCCTCATCTTTTTTTCTTTTTTAAAAAGATTTGTTTATTTATTTTAGAGAGGGGAGGGGCAGAGGGAGAGGGAGAGAGTCCCAAGCTGACTCTGCACTGAGGGCAGAGTCCAACTCTGGGCTCAATCTCACGACCCTGAGATCATCACCCGAGCCGAAACCAATCAGTCACTTAACTGACTGTGCCACCCAGGTGCCCCTCATCTTTCTGTCTTAATGGATTTGCCTATTCTGGACATTTCATATGAAGGGAATCATATAATATGTGGCCCTTTGTGTCTGGCTTCTTTCATTTAGCATAACGTGTTCCAGATTCATCCATGTTGCACCACGTATCAAGGCTTCATTCCTTTTTATGGCTGAATAGTATTCCGTGGCATGGATCTACCTCTTTTTTGAAGAGCTCCTTTTTTTTTTTAATAGGGCGTGGTGTCCAATGCATGACCCTGAGATCAAGACCTGAGCTGAGATCAAGAGTTGGACACTTAACTGACTGAGCCACCCAGGCGCCCCTGCAGAGCTCCTCCTATCTGCCTTACAAATCCTGCATAAGAATCCTGATCTCCCACTTAAGATGTTGTTTGAAGAAAGGTTCCATCTGCTGGAATAAATTTTAAGAAATCCCTGCAAAAAAAAAAAAAAAATCTCTGCAAAAGAAAAGTCGGTGTTTGGACTATGGTCACTTCCATCCATTCAACAAATATGCTCTGAAACTCATGTGAGAGTGACAGGCTCATCTGAGGACAGAATAATGAGCGATGATGAGGCTCTGCCCTAAAGGGGCTCCCTGCCTGGTGGGGCAGACAGGCCTGGACATAGGCCAGGTGGTGGGCTGAACAATGGCCCTACTCCTGTATCTTGTGGACGAACCTGGGATGTGATTAAGTTAAGCACCTCTAGATAGGAAGATTATCCTGGATTATCTGGGTGGGTCCTAAATGCAATCATAAGTGTCCTTAGAAGAGAGAGGCTGGGGGATATTGACCTGGAGGAGGCGGCCATGTGAGGGAAATCATGAGAAGCAGAGTTAGGGAGAGAAGAGCCTGCCTCTGGCTTTGAAGCTGGAGGAAGAGGCCTCATCTAAGGAACGCAAGCAGCCTCTAGAAGCTGAAAAAAAAAGGCAAGGAAACGGATTGTCCCCTAGAGCCTCAGGAGGGCACACTGCTCTGCTGACACCTTGATTTCAGCACGGTGAAACCCACTGCAGACTTCTGACCTCCCGAACTGTAAGAGAACACATTTGTGTTGTTTGAAGCCACCAAGTTTGTGGTAACTTAGTACAGGAGCAAGGGAAACTAACACAGACCAGAAATAAAAAGACCTGGCCTCACACGTGTTTCCAGTTACACAGGAACACAAGCAGCTGAAGGCTGAGACCAGCGGGTGAAATTCTGATGAGGAAATGAGAAGCAGAGTCTTACAGACTCTCCCCTATCTCCTCGCCAGTCACTTAATCATTACAAAAAGGTCACTTTAGAGCAGAGACGCCTGGCGGACACCACCGCAGCCAAGTGATCAAGACTGACATGACCTGTGATGGGCAAACGGGCATCACGGGCTTCTGATCTGGAGAACACAGCATCACGCCCAAGGTATTCCCACCAAACCTAAATCTAATCATGAGGAAACACTGAACAAATCCAGACCAAGGGACATTCTGGAAGTACCTGGTCTGTAATCTTCAGAATTGCCAAGACCATCAAGATCAAAGAAAGACTGAAGAACTGCGTCAGGTTCACGGAGACTAAAGAGACCTAACTTTAGTTAGGGATTTTCTTTTGCCATTAAGTACATTATTGGGACAATTAGCAAAATTTGAGGGTCTGCAGAGTAGCTAATAGTCTGTATCGATGTTACTGTCCTGATATGATCATGGTGCTGTGGTCTTGGAAGATAATGGCCCTGTTTTTAGAAACACACAGACTCGTGGGTAAGGGGGGCGCGCAGACACAGAGAGGGGGACTGAACGGGGGTTGGGATGGTGGGGGGGTAGATCAGAGAGAGATTAGAGAGACCCAGAGAAAGGGTAGCATGCTCAGGAGAAGGAGGACAGAGACGGAGGGCGTGACTGTGCAGAGTACGCGGGGGCTTTCGGGTCAGACACCCCGGACTGTGATGCCAGGCCGACTACCGTGACCTGCGAGAAGCCGCGGAGTCTGTTTCTTCACCTGCGAAGTGAGGAAACGCATCGTCTCCCTCCTGGGAGATCGCAGCAGTTCCGCGCTCGCCTGACTCCTGGCAAACAGCAGGCGCTCAATTCCTGCGCGCTGAGATCGTCCGAAGCCGCGCGGGTGGCAGAGGCGCTCTGGGGCCACCTCGCGAGGGATAGGAAGGGGCGGGACACCGCCCACAGCGCCCACCCAGCCGCGACTCGGGCCCGCCTCCCTGAGCGCCCGCCGGCCTGTCCCGCTCGGCCCGCACCCACACGCTCCGGCTCCCGGCCGCCAGGTAGGGACTCACCTGTGCGCCCCCGCGGATTGCGCAGGGCTGCCAGGCCTTCCCCTCCCTCTGGCGGGTCGCGGAATGCGCCTGCGCGGTCGCTGTCTCGGAACTAGTAAGCCCTGGTTCTTTAAACGCGGTTTCGCAGCTGGACTACATTTCCCAGAAACCATTACGGGCTCACGCTCCTCCCGAGCTAAGGTCTCTAAAGGCGGGGGGAATCCTGGGAAGTGGAGTCTGCGAGTACGATGTGGGGCCGAAAGGAACATGGTATTGAGAAATTTCTGGCTGTACTGAGCCGGCGAATATACCCATTATAGCCAGTCTTTTTGCTGCCCTTCACAGGAGGGGACGTCATAGTCCATTTAACCCATCTAACGAAGTTTCCCCCTGTAGCTGAAGTCCACAGGACACACAGAAGTTGGCCCCATCTAAACTGATGGTGAACGAATTGAGCCTCTGTCACTAATTACTCACTATCCCTGGGCATCTGCTTCCTGTTTGCCTCAGTTTCACCTATCACCTCTTAACGGGTGGTGTGGTAAAGGAAACAGACCCCTAAAGTGGGAGGGGAAGATGTATATCCAGGAATGCAAGGATGGATTGATATTGGGTTATCACATAATTTGCTAATTGATATATCAAAGTAATACCATCACATCCATGGATATTAAAAGGGTTTTGAAAACCTTCAGTAATAAGCCATTTCTGCATAAAGTTAATATATTTAAGAATAGGTCCTTATTGAATAGTAATGACAACAATCTTTTTTTAAAAAAAGGATTTTATTTATTTATCTGAGAGAGAGAATAGGTGTCAGAGGGAGAGGGAGAATCAGACCCCCACTGAGCAGGGAGCCCAACCCAGGCCCCATCCCAAGACCCGAGCCGGAGGTAGACGCTTAACTGACTGAGCCACCCGCAAACCCCAGTAATGACAACAATCTTAAGGAGTTCCTTGCTTTTCCCTTGTTTTTAATTACCTACATATCATCAAAACCCCATATCAGGCTTAATGCTAAAAACCAAAACATCCCCATTAAAGTCAGAACAAACTGTCCAGCATGACCACTTTTGGAAGAACTATCAATGCAGTTAGACAAGAGAAAGAAAAGGTATCATTGGAACAGAGAAGTCTGGGTTGTCATTCTTCTTTAAATATGATACGATTGCTATCCTGGAAATCAGAGAATCAAATGAAACACTAAGATAAGCCATAAGATAATTATGTAAAATTACTGGGTACAAGATTAATAAAATCCCATAGGTTTTTTCTTTTCAACAAAGAATGATGATAAATCTAACGAAAAAAGGGGTTATTTGGATTTTAGTGCCATATTTGCCTGATAGATTGTAATCTCTTTGTGATCTGGAGCAGTTCTCTTCCACTCTGTACCTAGGTTTTCCTCTCTGTAATCCCTCATTGGGATAATGTGTGGCAAATAGCTCTTCTTCAAAGCCTTTCCCCTGCTTTCTGTGCACACAGCTAGACTACATTTCCCAGCCTCCCTTGCAGTCGGGGGTGACCATGTGATGAAGTTCTGGCCAATAAAGTGAGAGAAGTGAACATGCATGCCAAGCCCAGACCTGGTCCATTGAAACCTCTCACTTGTCACCTTCTACAGTCTTTTCCTTTCCGCGGATGTAGATGGAGACTATGACCCTGGAAGTCCTATGTTTAAAATGGAAGGAGCCTAGGGGCGCCTGGGTGGCTCAATCGTTAAGCATCTGCCTTTGGCTCAGGTCATGATCCCGGGGTCCTGGGATCGAGACCCGCATTGGGCTCCCTGCTCGGCGGGAAGCCTGCTTCTCCCTCCTCCACTCCCCCTGCTTGTGTTCCCGCTCTCACTGTCTCTCTCTCTCTCTCTCTTTCAAATAAATAAATAAAACCTTTAAAGAAAAAGAAAAGAAAGTGGAAGGAGCCTAAATCCCTGAATTGTCACATGGAGGGGGCCATCTCCAATCAGAAACCAAATAATAAAAAGTTAGTTTCGGTTATATGGACTCAGGGGATTGATTAGATAAATAATGGTATATCCGGCCTATGAAACGTTATCGAGCCTGAAATAATTATGATCAGGACACAATAACATGGGGAAATACTTGTGAATGAAAGTTAAAAGAAGAAAAATTACAGAGTTATGTATCTTTCATGGTTATAAAGATGTAAAATATATGTATACACATGAGTAAAAGCTAGATGAACCACTGTCAAAATGAAATAAGAACAGCTGTCACTTAGTGACAACATGTAGTGGGCTTTATTAGTTTATTTAACTCATACAACCACCCTGGGAAGATGTGTCCAACAGCCCCAGGGAGACCTTTGCAGCCCCAAGGCTCAAAGATCCAACGGGCGACAGCGGGTCCAGGGAAACTCCTCTTCTCATTGCCGGCTCCCTGGCTCTGCTGCCCTCTCCATGCCCATGAACTTGGCCCTGGCTCAAGCCTTGTCCTTACCCTAGAACTTCACTGCAATCTCATCTCAAACCTCCTGGCCCCCAGTGTCTCCCCTCCAGTATGTCCCCCACACACATCCCAGAAGAGTCTTTCTTTCTTTCCTTTTATAAAGATTTATTTATTTATTTTAGCTGGGGAGCATGCATGAGCATGGGGGAGGGGCAAAGAGAGAAGGAGAGAAGCAGACTCTGTGCTGAGCACAAAGCCTGACACAGGGCTTGATTTCATGACCCATGAGGTCACGACCTGAGCCAAAATCAAGAGTCAGATGCTTAACCGACTGCACCTCCCAGCTGGAGCTGGTAAGTCAACTCCCTCCCGGGGTTCCACCCGAACCTAGCGCTGATATTATAATAACTGTATTGTAATTATTATAACTGTCTCTCCTGCCCCAGATTGCGTTCTCCGAGAGCATTCATCACACTATAATTTCTGCACAATTTAATTATCCGTTTATTGTGTGCACTGCTCCCAGGAAATTCACAGAAAGTTAAGGGAGTAGCTGGACTTGCAGCGTGAAGAAATTTAAGATACCAAAACAACACTGCTACCTAAGCAAAAAGCATTTTAGGGCCACCAACTTACGACCCCCAGGCCTCACCGGAGTGGGCTTGGGGCAGGACACCAGCTTAAGAAGTAAACATGAAGTCCGGCATCTCTGACTTGTCTGCAGTAGCCTTGCCTCCCAGCTAGCCTGCTCGGTGAGGGTGACGTCATGCGTGCCAGGAGTGACGTCACCGGGGCGACAGCGTCCGTTGCCTTCACCGGAGGGCGCCTGCGTGGTAGTGGGGGTGGGGGAGCCCCCCTACCATTTCCAGAATGCTCTGGGTTGGAGCCTCTGCTCTTCCAAACCGCCCTAATCCAAGGGCTCCTTACTGCGCATGTGCCCAAAAACGGTATCTTGGCAACGGATCACTCAAGTGAACACCCCACCCCACCTTTAACTAGAGAGGCTCGGTAGTATCTATGGCAACGGGGGAGTGGCAGGGGGAGAGGATTCTGGGAAATGTAGTTAATTAGAGAGTCCAGCGAGCTCTAGCTACGCTTAAAATTTCATTTGCCAATAATCTCTAGCATAAAAAATATAAGCAACACTCAGCCCCAGATGTTTCTCTGTCGCTTCACAATGATAGCAAAACGTGTCTTGGGTTGGTCCTCAGTATTCGAAAAAATTAGTTGCCCGCACTACTTAGGGAGAGATTTCACGTTTAAAAAATCTGAATTTCTGGGTTCTCTTGAGAATTCTGAAGATCTGAAAACACTGGGCTGTTATTTCACCGCGACCGCAATAGAATGGAGCTGAGTACTTTCTATCCTCCGTGGATGCGACCTGCAGTTCACTTTATCTTCCTGGACCCATCAATATTTGGGGTTTCCATCCCAGACCCTGGAAAAACCACCAAGCTCCTTTCCCTGGCATTTAAAGGCCCTCAGTATATGGATCAGTATCATTTTTGCAGGCTTCCTCCCCTTTCCGCCAACACTGCCATCCTCATTTATTCAACAAATATTTACTGAGAGCCTGCTCTGGGCCAAGCCTTGTGCTGGGCACCGAATCTTCAGCTAAATTTGGTTTTTCTTATCAACGCCCATCCCTCCCACTGATGGGGTTTTGGAATATAGGCGAAGTTCAGTGGGGTGGAGTCCAGAGCCGACGACCAAGAAAGAATTCTTGAGACAGCTTTGGTGCAAAATGGTGGTTCATTAAAGCCCGGGGACAGGACCCGTGGGCAGAAAGAGCTGCTGCCCCGGGGTTGTGAGCGGTGGCTGATTATATACTATGGGGTTGGGGGAGGTAAGGAAAAAGGGAGATTTCTGAAAGAACTTTCATATGCTAAAGAAGACTCACAGGATACCCGAGGCCTTGCCATTGTCAAATTAAGGCTGTTTACCCCTCTAGTAAGGCATTAATAGTTGGGAACTTCCTGGAGGAACATTACACTGCCCACTTCAAGTGTCTGTCTGTGGGCTGCAGGTTATAAAGACATTTAATTGTATTTACATTCCCTTCTGGAAGCTATTGCTAAGGCTTTTGTAAGTAAACTGAGGGAGACTCATATCTTGTTGGATTGTGATCTCTGTAAGTTAACTATTTGTTTTTCCTTTAGGGCAGCCAGGAGTGCCTGAGGAATGTCACATATACCCCATGGTGGGGTGTGTGTGTGTGTGTGTGTGTGTGTGTGTGTGTGTGTGAGCTTCTGCTTTGTCCTCAGCTTGCCCTCTGTTCCTTCATCACCACCAAACATCATTATCCAGATCCTGAATGAGATAGCAATAGTTTTGCTAGCAAGTTCAGAAACAGAAGGATACTATGTTATGCAAATTTATTTGCTTTCTTACTTGGGGTTAGCAAGGAGCAAGAGTTCAGACAGCAAAAGATTTACATGAAAATGTATCTGAATCTATTCAGGAACACAGAGGGTGAAAATTTAGTTCAGAGAGGGAGGGGAACGTGTATTCTCTGCATTGACTACTGCTGTCCCTCTTCCAGACCATCCTTGAGGGACCCACTATGGTGTTATCTCCTTTAGGATGCATTCCTCCTTTCAAGCTCTCATTGTAGGTTGTCTATAACTCTTGAAGGCTCAAATCACTTCTACTTTGATGTAGGGTAATTGGTACCTACAGATGAGTGAGACCTTGTCCCAACCCTTGAGGAGCACCCAGTTGGGTGTCCAGAGCTAGACACCAACTGGGAGGAGGGTCCTCCAGAAACTAACAGACATTGAGGAATTTGTCATGGACTTTATTAAACTTCTTTTCCTTTCCCCTTACAGACCCCCACACCACCACCCTACTGCAGCAGGAGTTTTCGGTTTTGCCTGTACATAATAGCCCTGGTCAGAGAGAAAAAGCCTGGAGGTTACAAAGAGAACTTCAGGTCCCTCCAGGTCAACCATTCCCCCCCCCCACAAAAAACCCACTTCCCTCCAATCATCAGCCTTATTTGGTTCAGCCTGTGACATCATGGGTATCTGGGCAGATTTCCAGGGTTCTTAGCTAATCAGTGTTGGTACATGAATGAGGAGGAGAGAAAATTTGGGACTGGGAGTGAAGGTAAAACGTGAAATCAGAAAGAGTGGGAAAGACTGGAGGAGACTCTGAAAGACACAGACATAGGGCGAGAGACTCATGGAGAAGGGAAAGACAGAAGGAGAAGGAAATGAGGAAGAGAGAGAAGCAGGTGTGCTGAATTGAATTGTGTCCCCGCCCCCCGCCCGCTCCCCCCAGATATATCCAAGTCCTAATCCCCAGGACCTGTGAATGTGACCTTGTTTGGAAATAGGGTCTTTGCGGATGTAATTAAGTTAAAGTAAGATGAGATCATTCGGAATTTAGGATGGACCCAACATTCAAAGACTGGTGTCCTCATAGGAGAAGAAGAGGGTGATCAGAGACAGATGCAGAGGAAAAAGCCATCTGAAGATGGGAGGGGGGTGGGCAGAGATCCGGAGGGAAGCCATGAGCCAAGGAATACCAAGGATGCCAAAGAGACAGAGGGGCAAGACAGACCTTGAGCAAGAGGCTTAGGGAGAGAGAAACAAGATTCGAGACAGAAATAAAGATCTAGCGAAGAAAGGCGGGAGAGGTTCGAACATGGGGGAGGGGAGAGAGCAGTGGGGAAGGTACTGGAGAGAGAGAGGGGAGGTGGGAGGGATTCAACCTGGGAGGCAGAGTGGGGGGGGACAGCAGGATTGAGACTGGGACAGGGGAGGGGAGGAGAAAGCCCAGTGGGAGAGGCAGAGAGAGGGAGAGGGAAGGGGACACAGACCGAACAAGCTCACAGTGGGAGCAGACATTCATTGTGCTGAGTGCTGATTTAACTCACCACCAGGCGCTGGGAAAGGAGGGTGAGGGGCAGGTGGAGAAGGGGCCAGAGGGAAGAGGGGAGGGGCTGGAGGGGTGACAGGTAGGCAGAGGTGGGAGGGTCCCTCAGAAGGGCGGAGAGGAGGGTGAGGTCCACTCCTCCCCTTGGCACCATGGGCTCAGTGCTTGGGGCCCAATGGAAATGTTTTCATTTTAACCACTTTGAAAAGCAGAACAGAATAAATTAATATAATGACAATGGTGAAGAAGAATATATAATAATGAATCCAGCTCGGACGACATCTGTCTTCATCCAGCCCATGCAGGAAATACAATTTTTAATGTATTTTTTTTTTTTTTTTATGGAGGAAGAGACCCAGAGAGGCAAAAGTTCTGAGGACCCAGGAAAGACATAAGGTGGTCCAGGGATGAGAGGAAGAGGAGGTGAGAGAGAAGGAGAGATGGACAGACAGACAGACATGGGGGCCAGGAAGAGAAGAGATGGAGAGAAGGAAGGAGAGGCAGAGACAAAGTGAGTGAGGAGGAGATTCCCAAATGACACAGTGGCCGATACAGGGCAGGGACATTTTTGTGGGGCCCGGTGGGGCATTTGGGAGCCTCAGGAGAGGGCAGGGATGACTCACGAAGCCACGATGACCCCGAAGGCAAGAATAGCCAGAAAAATAGCAATGACAGCACCGCCATTCTGCAGGTTCTCCCCCTCCTTCTGGTACTGCAGGGCCATGCGGGGCTGCCCATCAACTGGTGGGGTGGGGGAGACAACCCTGACTTCCAAGTCACCACCCTTCCTTGGCCTGGCACCCACACCCACCTGCTCACCCAGCAACCTCAGCCTCTCTCTCCCTCCTCCCTACCTGTCCCCGCTGCCCTCTCCTGGGGTCTGACTGCATTCATCCATTCCTCAAATTCTGTGTCCCAGGCACTGTTTTAGGTGCTCTGGATACCTCCATGAACCCCACTGGCAAAGATCTCTGGCTTGCGGCACCGACAGGCTACCCTGCACACCCCAGTGACAGCAAAGAGCCCAGTGCTAAATACTAGTTGGCTAGGTGGTGGGAGGAGGACGTGGGTTCATTCGACTGCCCATGAACATGAGATGCAAAATTCTGACAATCTCAAGACAAGACGAAAGTCAACCTGCATCTTAGCTGGGGACCCTGAAGATTCTTGGGAGTCCCATTCGGCATCTTCCAATCGTCCCCTCCCCCCGACTCCTTCATTCTGTCAGCAGAGCCTCTTGGCTCCACTTTCAGCATGTATCCAGAGTCTGATCCACCTCCTGGGCTATCGACCTGGTCCAGCCCCCTATCAAAGCTCCTCTCCCGGGGTTCTCCGCTTCTCCTGGCCCTACAGTGCCCCACATGGCCGCCAGAGGGCGCCTGTTAAACACCTAAGCCCTCTCCAGTGCCCCTTCCCGCAGAGCCTTCCCTAAACTCGCCTCTCATTCAGATTAAAAGCCTAAATCCTCACCACGGCCCACCAGGCCCTGCACAATCTGGTCACCATGTGACTAGCTAGCTACTATACCCTTCTTCATTCATTTGGCTCTGGCCACACTAACCTCCCTCTCGTTGCTCAACCATGTTGGATACTTGCGCTTGCTGTTCCCTCTGTCATTCACACTGTTCCTTACTCCCTCACTTCCTCTAGATGTCAAATACCACTTCTTTAAAGAGGTCCTGCAATCTGCACTCTCTAAACTAGCACCGCCCCTCCCTTTCCCCCAGGCAGTTTCTTTCAAACTCTTCTGTTCTGTTTTCACTAGGGCACACTTGCAATCTGGAATCAATCCATTTATTCGTTCCTGTAATTGTCTAACAGTGGTTCTCAGCTGGGGGCAATTTTGTCCCCCAGGGGTCATTTGGAAAGGTCTGGAGACTAGAAATGATTGTCATGACTTTGGCTAGGGGAGTACTACTGGCATTTAGTGGGGTAGAGGCTAGGGGTGCTGCTGAACCATCCTACAATACACAGGACAGCCCTTATAACAGACTATCCAGCCCCAACTGTCAGTATTGCCAAGGTTGAGAAACCCTAGTTAACCCTTCACCCCATTAAAATGTGGGCAATATGAGCCATCTGTCTTCCATTCTGCTGATCCTCAGTTTGGGGGCATAATGGGGTACTCAAAATATCTGGTAGTTAACCACCATCCTAAAGGAGCAAATGGACAAATCCTCTTTGCAACTAGTCAATGTCGTGGGCGGGGGGAGAGGGGAGGGGGGGAGGTGATAAGAGAAACTCTTCTAGATTTAAAAAAAAAAAGTGGAAAAAACCCTACAATTCAATTATATGAGAAGTCCTTTCACTGGGTCCTGGTTTGTACGAATCAGCTGCGAAAGATATTCTGGGGACAATTAGGGATGTTGCAAAAGGACTTAGAATTACTTGATATTGAAGACTTGTTGCTAGGTTTTTTGGGTGTGAGAATGGCATTATGGTTACATAGGAAATGTCCTTATTTTTAGAGGCACACACTATTTATGGGTGAAATCTCACAATGCTTGATTTCTTTTAAAATACCATGGCAATGGGGCGCCTGCCTGGCTGGCTCAGTTGGCAGAGAATGTGACTCTTGATCTTGCAGTTGTGAATTTGGGTATAGAGAGATTACTTAAAAAAAAAATACCATGGCAATAAATAAGTAAAGCAAATGTGGAGGAATGTCCATTGTCAACATAATTTGATAGAAAGTGCTGCTTTAGAGAGTGTGATCAGGGAGTCATCTTTGAGGAGGTGAACTTGAACACTTTACTGAAATAAAGGAGTGAGAGGAACAGTGTGAGAGAGGGAACAGCATGACTATTCAATCTTGATGGATATATGGGGGTTCACTGTACTATTCTCACTGCTATAAGGGTATACACTTTAAAAATCTCTGGGGGTACCTGGCTGGCTTGGTCAGTGATGCGTGCAACTCTTGATCTTGGGTTGTAGGTTTGAGCCCCACATTGTGTGTAGAGATTATTTAAAAATTAAAAAAATCTCTGAATGAATGAATGAGTGAGTGAGTGAATGAATTCAGCAGATCCTTCTGGACTCC